GTACCACTTCCAGTTGCAGTTTCAGTTGCAGTAGCCATAATCTCTTATTACAAAAATCAGGAAAAATTAAAAAATAAATTAATTTTCTAGTTACTAAAACCAGAAAATAGATTATAAAACAAAATAATTTTATTTTCCTTGTTCCTAAACCTAGAAAAATAAAATGCCACAATAATTTTCTATAACACAAATTCATATTCTGCAATTGTTAATGACACCAGTATATTACTACTAGTTGTCAAAGAAAATAGACAGTATATTACTACTATCTGTCAAATAGCATAAACCACTATTTGTTTTTCCAACCAGAATATGTCTTTATGAAATTATAGAAAATTATATACAATGAAGATCCCAAAAGGAATTCTGTCTTAAGATTGCTGGACAATCTTCACTGTAATTAAATTAATTAATTATGTTTGGGTACTAAATGACAAACAGAATATAAAAGAAAATAGGAAAGGAGAGAGAAAGTTTGATTACAAAAATCAAACTAGAAAAATAATTAAATAAATAAAAACATATTTTATTTTGTTACAAAAACAAAATTAAATCTGATTTAAATAAATAATAAAACAGAAAATAAATAAATCACTTACTTGATTAATATCTTGAATATTATTCTGATCAAGTCCAGTGTTCAACACTGTCTCCTTAAGACAGATTCGTCCTCTCCACGGTACTTTCAGAAAATGGACGTCTATCTCCCAAGATGAAATGATTAACAACAAGTAAATGCAGCATTACAATTTATTTGTTCAACGAACACACTAAGTGTTTACACTATTTCTCACATTTCTCACAAAAAATTAAATGCAGCAAAATGAAGAATAAATTTGCATAGGAGAAGTATGAAATTTCTGAATGAAAACATCAAATGAGGGCTGCCTATTTATAGATGTAGTGGTAGCTATTGATTTTGAATTAAACAGGTGCAAACCTGTTTTGAACATGTATGAAACTTGTTTGGTTTTGAATTAAACAGATTTAAATCTGTTGGGTTCAAAAATCAAACAGATAAAAAACGGAAGGGACCAGTTTGGGTGCAGAGAAAAACCAGAACAGATTGATTTTATTTCAAAAAATAAAATTAAATCCAAGTGGTTTTGGTCCAAAAAGATTAGTATTGGGCCGAACAAGCCCAACCCAACCACGCACCCGTGCCTAGTCCGCCTGACCGACAGCGGCGGCGGCGCGCGTGTGGTGATTTTTGGGTCCAATGGGTCTAGCCAATTTTGCCTATAACCTCTCCCTTCTACAAACTTGGGATGTCCCTTGGGGCCCTCCCAAAGTTATAATTCCAACCTATATAAATCCATCTAAAACTTTCCGCCAAACCAATATGGGACAAGCCTTATTCAAACCTTTAAGGATTTTCCACCAAAAACTCCATTCCTATAGAGCACACTTTGGCTTCAATTTCCAATTCACTTGATAATGGTTTTGAGCAACCAAATATACCACGTAAATCACAACGCGGCATAGAATGCGTTACCACTTTGACCTACGAAAATCGATGCTCAGATCCCACCTAAAAATTAGACCAAAGTTAGGAAAAAATTATGTTTATACCCAGAATTTTCCCACCATTTCTAACAAAATATACTTAGGGTGTGTTTGATTGGACGGACTGGATAATGAGGGATTAGAATCCACCGAACTTAAATTTTGGGACTGTGAATCCCTGAACTATTTGATTGGATTAGATATGTATCCCGTGTTTATTTTTTCATGGAATTAGATGTTTGTAAATGACTATTTTTAGTGAATCTATTGCTTGGTTGGACGGACTAGATAAGATAAATGAGCAAAAGACCATTTTACGCGTTTTCAATTGTTTACTAAGTAATAGCAATATTAAATATACCTTTAATATTTTAATTATTTTTAGCTAGATTAAATAAAAATATATTTTATTTTATTTTTTACACAATTAAATAAATTTATTTTTTAAAAATTAAATAAATAAAACAAATAAAACATCAATAAAAATATATGTTATTTTTTTAATTAAAATTTTAAATAAATTTATTTTAAAAATAATAATAATTAAATAATGAAATTAAAAAAACATCTATTAAAATTTAAATAATGAAATTAAATAAATTATAAACAAAATTTTAAAATAAAACATGAATAAAATATCTATAAAAAATTATTTTAAAAAATTAAATAAATAAAACATAAATAAATAGTTAAATAAAACTATTTTATTTTTAAATTGAGACATTTAAATTTTATTGAATTTTACTAAAAATAATATATAATTAAATAGTAGATGGTCAAAATGGTCATTTCACCACCTAATCCCGACAGTAAATAGTCCCATGAAAATTTTTCCACACCCACTCCCCCCGCGGATAGTATAATCCCACATATGTGGGACAAGCAGTCCGGCGGATTAAAAAAAATAAATACTGGATAAAAAGCTTGCCCTAGATTGCAATCCCAACAGTGGATAGTCCCCTCCTTAATCCTGCGAATCAAACGCACCCTTAGTAGACAAATTCACTTAACCAATATAGAATATAATAGTCCTCAACGAAATTTGACATTATTTTAACAATTAAATTTTAATAGTTAGTTTAAAATTATTGAACTATTTTTGTTTTAATATAAATAACTTTATAAAGTTCCAATAAATACAATGAATTATTTTTATTTTATAATATTTTGTATTTAAAAGACTTTCGTAGCACGAGTTTGTTGCTAGTATAGATATATATGTCAATATTTCAAATAAATTTTTTATTAGTTTCCATGATTTTCTCTTAATAAATAATTCCAATCCAAATGGAGTAAGTATTCAAACATATGTGATTTTCTCTTAAAATGTAGATTTAGTTTTTATTTTTGAATCTAAAAATCTTTTGAATGAATGCAGAACTAAATAGGGCATAAGAAATTAACTTGAACCAATTGATACATAAGTATTAGAAATATAATTTTTTTAAAAAACCTCTCATTTTACGTTTAACTTATTTATTAAAAAAATACCTTTTTTATTTTTTATTCTAACTTTAGCCAAAAAGACAATTAAAACATTTTTCATTTCTTGATTATCCAACTTTAATGGTCGTAAAATAAAAAATAGATGAGGGGTTTCATGAGCAAAACAAAGGATGCGGAACTCAAATGCAACAATCAACCCCAAAACAAATCAAAACGCTCCATAATTAAATTTCAAGTCCGCGTTTCTCAGCTGGTAGTGCCAGTCCCCTCTCTTCTATTTGTGAAGTCTTTCCTCTCCTTTCCCAACCGAACCCTACGACAATCACCATCGATTCATCTCTGTAGAACCCTCGAATTGCTCGATTCTAGGGCCAAACGCAAATCAATCAACCAAACCACTTTCACAAATAGTATATTCGTCTGCTCCAACTTCATTCATATGAAGTTCTATCAGAGTTTCCCAGTTGCGGAGAGCTCTCTGTGAATTCTCAAACTATTTAGTTGGATTGGATATGTATCTCATGTTTGTTTTCTTATGGGATTAGATATCTGGAAATAATATTTTTAGTGAATCCATTGTTTGGTTGGACGGACTGGATAAGATAAATGAGTAAAAGACTATTTTACCCATTTTTAATTATTTACTAAGTAATAGCAATATTAAACATATCTTTAATATTTTAATTATTTTTAGCTAGATTAAATAAAAAATTATTTTATTTTATTTTTTACACAATTAAATAAATTTATTTTTTAAAAATAAAATAAATAAAACATCAATAAAAATATATGTTATTTTTTAATTAAAATTTTAAGTAAAATTATTTTTAAAAATAATAATAATTAAATAATGAAATTAAATAAAACATATATTAAAATTTAAATAAAATATAAACAAAATTTTAAAATAAAACATCAATAAAATATCTATAAAAAATTAAATAAATAAAACATCAATAAAAAGTTAAATAAAATTATTTTATTTTTGAATTGAGACATTTAAATTTTATTGAATTTTATTAAAAATAATACATAATTAAATAGTAGAGGGTCAAATGGTCATTTCACCACCTAATCCCAACAGTAAATAGTTCGATGAAAATTCTTCCACATCCCCCGGATAGTATAATCCCACATACGTGGGATAAGGAGTCTGGCGGACTAAAAAAAAATAAACACCGGATCAAAAGCTTTCTCCGGATTGCAATCCCAACAGTGGATAGTTCCCCCCTAATTCGGCGAATCAAATGCACCCTTAGTAGACAATTCACTTAGCCAATATAGATTATAATAGTCCTTAATAAAATTTGACATTATTTTAACAATTAAATTTTAATAGTTAGTTTAAAATTATTGAATTATTTTTGTTTTAATAGAAATTTGCTTTATAAAGTTCAAATAAATACGATGAATTATTTTTATTTTATAATATTTTGTATTTTGCTAGTATAGATATATATGTCAATATTTCAAATAAAATTTTATTAGTTTCCATGATTTTATTGGTTTCCATAAAATTTTCAAATAAAATTCTAATCCAAATGGAATTTTATTAGTTTCCATGATTTTATTGGTTTCCATAAAATTTTCAAATAAAATTCTAATCCAAATGGAGTAAGTATTCAAACTTATGTGATTTTCTCTTAAAATGTAGATTTAGTTTTTATTTTTGAATCTAAAAATCTTTTGAATGAATGCAGAACTAAATAAGACATAAGAAATTAACTTGAACCAATTGATACATAAGTAATAGAAATAGAATTTTTTAAAAAACATCTCATTTTACTTTTAACTTATTTATTAAAAAAATACCTTTTTTTAATTTTTTTTTTCTAACTTTAGACAAAAAGATAATTAAAACATTTTCCATTTCTTGATTATTTTAATTTTTTTTTTCTAACTTTAGCCAAAAGATAATTAAAACATTTTCCATTTCTTGATTATCCAACTTTAATGGTCGCCAAATAAAAAATTGATGAGGGGTTTCCTGAGCAAAACAAAGGATACGGAACTCAAATGCAACAATCAACCCAAAAACAAATCAAAACGCTCCATAATTAAATTTCAAGTCCGCGTTTCTCAGCTGGTAGTCCCAGTCCCCTCTCTTCTGTTTATGAAGTCCGAATGAACTCTCTCTTCTTCTCTCCCAACCAAACCCTACGATAATCGCCGTCGATTCGTCTCTGTAGAACCCTCGAATTGCTCGATTCTAGGGCCAAACACAAAGCAATCAACCAAACCACTTTCACAAATAGTATATTCGTCTACTCCAACTTCATTCAGATGAAGTTCTATCAAAGTTCCCCAGTTGCGGAGAGCTCTCTGTGAGGCCTAAGATTTCGTTTTTTTCTTCAATTCTTGCTGTTGGTGGGTTTACAAAGAAGCTGGCTATGGACTACGAACCCTACGACAGCAGTGGTGAGTTCACAATCCTAAAACTATTTTAATCTCCTTTGCTAATTACGCTGAATTTAGGGTTTTTTTGGGTTTTGTTTTGTGAATTAGGGTTTGGGTATGTTTTAGTTCTTTTCAGCAATGTGGATTTCGTGAAATTCTGTTAGTAATGGCGCAGAATGAAGGAAGTAGCGTTTAAAGCTTCAATTTTTGCTTTTTAGTTCAAAATTAGATTGGATGGATTGCGTTTGCGCTTAAGCTTGCCTTTGCGTTGTAGTTGTTTGAAGTTAAGATTTATTCATGAAATTTGTAATTTTGCTGGCATGAGAGCTTAGAGTACTAAAAAAAGGCTTCTTTTAATTTTTTTTTTCCTTCTCTTTTTTGTTTGTGAAATTGGGGGTATGCATGCTTCTTTGCCAGTTTTAGGTTTTTTCCCCTGTTGTCAAGGAACCGAACATCTGTTCAATATTCATAAAGGAATTATTTTTAGTGGGGAGTAAAATAAGTAATAGCAAAGAATTTGTACATTACACTGGTTGATTTGGATGTTATGCCTTAAAGAAGTGCCACTTCATTCAGAACAGGAAAACGAAGAAAACATTTAGGTGGAAATCTTAAATTTCTGTTCTTCATGACATTTTATTGTTCTTCGTGAATTATATAAGTGAAGAGGAATACTTGATTAAGACTTTAAAAAGACTTGGTTCAGTAGCTATAACTTGAAGAATATCTTATCATTGGAAAAGAGTAGTGTGATGGTGGAAATATTGAATGGAACGCCTATAATACATTCAAAGTAAAGGGTGGCCTCTAAACCCTTAGTTTACATACTTGCCGAGTTCTTGGTCATTAAAAAAAAAAAAAAAAAAAAAAAAAAAAAAACAAAAAATTTAAATTAATTAAACCCCCAAACCAAGACTAGCTCACATTGACTAGTATGTTCAGATCATGGTATCAAATATTTATCATTTGCAACCCTAGCAATATTGTTGTTAAGTTTGCAAAATTTGTGACTCGAATTTTGTCCCACCGCCAATTTGAGTAATGGAGGAGAATAATTTGAGATATTATTCCAAGTAATATAGGACTTCGTACTACCACATTTCAAAGTTGTTAGTTTCATTGAACTTCTCAACTTCGAACTTCGCGTTGGTGACCGTACCCCGTTGCGCTAGTTTACTTGAAGTAATGTGCTTAACCAAATGAGAAAAGTGTAAGATAGTAATCTTACATGGGAATATGTGTTAACTTATTACCTATTAGACCAGGTAATCAGCATTCAAAATAAAATTTTCATTGATTTAAGTCTAAATATTTTATATTTATAAGATTATTTTTCACGTCTAAGTGTGTAGAACTATTTTTCTTAGTAATTTATAAAATGTGACTGAATCTTTATGATTCACGATTCGATTCGATTCGCGATTCAGTATAAGGCCATTTCGATTCACGATTTGACAACTATGGTTGCATGTGCAAGGAAGACTTTGAATCAGTGAAGCACCATTTTATTCACTGTCAAGTAGCAAGGGAGCTGTGATGGAATTTTTTTTTACTTTGCTAAAATCTCGTAAGGAAACTTATTTACATATCCATATTGGATGGACATTGCAAAATGACTAAATTTACTATTTCGGATTCATCTAATACTTAAAAGTTTCATGATACTTGATAAGAAATGGATTCAACGCCAGAGAAGACAAGTGGATGAGAATTGGCGTCGCATGTGCAAGCAAGATGGCAAATCAGTGATTCACCTTCTTATTCACTGTCAAGTAGGAAGGGAGCTGTGGACGTCTGTTTTCTCTTGGAGTGGGGTGAGGTTGGTTTTCCTTGTAGGTGTGCTGGAGCTTTTGCTTTCTTGGATAGGGGCCTAGGGTGGGGAAAAGCAGGAAGAAGCTGTAATGTTTGATTCCTTTAAGCATTATGTGGATATGTTGGGGAGCAGTTTGTAAATCTGTTGATGGTTTTAAAGTTTATTTGTATTGGCTTATGAGTTCTTTTATGAAATTTTTATGTAGTTGGGAGTCAGGATTCTTAGCACGTGCTGGATAGATTGTTTGGCTTTTTTCCCCCTCCTTTTGTATATGTGTGGCATTCTGTTAATGTCTTTTCTTCAATAAAATTTTATCTCGCGCGCGCGTGTATTTATGTATAAGATTCAACGTATTTGACACCTAGTCTCACACTCGTTCTTAGTTCGTCTGCCTGAGTGTGTGCAACATAGTTTTGAATTCTTACTCTACTCAAATGCAGAGTAAAGAACTTTCGTTTTATCTTTCTGTTTTCCTTTACATTTTTTTTTTTGGTGTACAATATTTGTTTATACACCACTTTGCTAACATTTGTATTTATATTTCTGAATGTAATGAGTATATATAGACCAGAGCATGCAGAGATGTTGCAATAGTATCTCTCTCTCCATTTGGAGACCAGTATGGCACTAAATGTTGTCATTTTGTGCTGAAGTGAACAATTTATTGAGAAACATTCCTTCACAGTGGAATGATCTATTTGGTGGATTACTGCAGTATGTGAAAGACACATCAGAGATCGACATAATGGCATCAAGTGTTAGAATTCAACCCCCATTATTTGTTTCTATCTCAAGAAGCTTATGTTGATGCACCCTTCACTTGTGATGATTCAATCAAACAATATCTTCAATCCTAATCTGTTGTCCTTAGAACTTCAAATGTTTGTTTTTTTAATTATTTAGTTGTAAACTTTTTGCCTGAGTTGCATTTGAAATTTCATCTTATTCTTAATTTTGTATTTCATTCTGAAATAATTACAGGAACTGATGACGATCTTCCTCCACCACATCAAAATAGAATTCCAAGAGGGGGACGTGTTGCAGGGAATGGAAGATCTGCTGTAATGGGTTCTGTCCCATACCCCAGGATGTATGGTGAAACTGACATGGAGGCCCAAATTCACCACCTTGAGCAAGAAGCATACAGTTCAGTTCTAAGAGCCTTTAAGGCTCAAGCGGATGCCATTACTTGGGTACTTTTTGTCATTTAACTTGCGTGGTCTAATATCTCTATATTTGTTTGACCAGGTTTAAAAAATGACTGTTCAATGAAATGTATTTCCTTCAGGAGAAGGAAAGTTTAATAACTGAGCTCAGAAAAGAGCTGAGATTATCAAATGAAGAACATAGAGAGCTTCTTGGGAGGGTTAATGCTGATGATGTCATTCGGAGGATAAGGTCTGATAGTGTTATGAACAACCTTTGTTGTTTTCTAAGAAGTGACCCCATTTGACTGATTTTCCGCAAGCTTTGGTCTCTTCTATCTTTTAATGGGTAGTATTTGGATAATGCCATTAGGGAGTGGAGACAGGCGGGTGGGCTTCAACCTGGCATGCTTAGTACTGGTCAAGCTGTTCATGATCCAGTGCCCAGTCCCACTGTCTCAGCATCACGCAAGAAACAGAAGATAACCCAGTCCGTACCTTCCCAATCCTTTGGCGTGCCATCTCCTCCTTTCCACCCACAAACGGTGGCTGCTTCCACCCAACCATCTTCTTCAGGTGCAAAACGAGGACCTGTTATGGGAGCAAAAGGCAAGAAGCATAAATCTGTAAGTGACAAATATCGAATTGGAAGTATAGTAATGAAGACTATATTTTATCTCATTTTCATATTGATGTTATCCATTTATTCTTCTTTACGTTATAGGGTCCAATTTTGCCTGGTGCATCTTCGATGAAAATGCAGTACCCTTCCCCAGGTCCAGCTGGGAGGGGTCAAATTGGTAATCGAGTTTCTTCTAGTGCACTTGCAAGTGAACCTGCTGAAGGAGTGCCATTTGATTCTTTGGTTGGGAGGAAAGTGAGGACTAGGTGGCCTGACGACAATAATTTTTATGAAGCTGTTATTACTGACTACAATCCAGTTGAGGTACAGTTGACTACTTGACTTCTTATTACTTGAGGATTTAATTTTATGTTGGTTTGCGCTGACAATATCTTTCTGAACCATTTATAGGGCCGACATGCTCTAGTTTACGATATTGGTTCTACAAATGAGACATGGGAATGGGTCAATCTGGCCGAGGTAGATATCAGTCCTTAATAAGAATTTGACGTTATTACTTACCCAATATATATATATGAATTTGACATTGCTTATGCCCTAAGTAAAAAAATAAAATGAAATTTGTGCAAGTTGAAAATGTTAATTTGAGATAGTCTAAAGAAGACTTTATTCTGAAATTTGGACTTGAACTTGGATGTGCATAATGAGGAGGTGCATAAAGGTTATTTGGGAGGCGAGGTGTATAGGATCTAATGGAAGACCCTGGAGATGATTTAACAATTGTTGTCACTCCCTGGATTTCTAAACCCTGCGGGGTAGATTGAGTGAAGATAGTTAAATAACAAAATCTAGTTTATTAGAGAAATGTCAACTCGTTGTTCAGCAATAATCTAAGTCTAAAATATAGGCAAGGGTTTAACAATCCTAGATGTGATCAAAAGGTTACACTGCGGTTTCAAGTCCAATAGTCATTGCTTTTAAATCCAATTTTCAATTCCACTCGATGTGGTAGATTATATTGATTTTGTGTTTTGGGATTGTTCCTTGTTTGGAGGGTCTAAGCTTTGCATTCATCGCATTTCAATCAGGGAGTTCTTAGTTTGGGAATTGCATGTTGGAGGGCTAGCAGGACACTTTGGTAGGGATAAGACTATTGCCCTAGTTGAGGATATGTTTTATTGGCCATCCTTGAAATGGGATGTTGCTAGGACTGTCTCTCTGCGTTGTACGTCTCAGTGGGTTAAGGTAGAGATAAGGAACACTGGTTTGTTGTACACTTGCCTGTTCGACGCACAGCTTGGTAGAACCTCAACATGGATTTTGTCTTTGGATTGCCTAGAACTAGAATAGTTAGAGGTCATCGTTCTATTCTATTTATGGATTTGTAGTGGTTAGGTTTTCCAAGATAACACACTTCATTCCTTGTAAAACAACTAGTGCTTCACATGTTCCTAAACTATTTTTTAGGGAGGTTGTTAGATTACATGGTTAACCTACTTCCATTGTCTAAGCCTTGAATAAATTTGGTCTTAGTTCATGTTGAGCCTACCCAAGTTGCACCCTCTAAATTTGTTGAATACTTGGTCTGGTGACCTCACACGCACCCCGTACAAACATACATACAAACATTTCTTCAAACAGTCTCTATAAAGCAGTAAAGTTATACAAAGGACCTAAGAAGTATGGATACGGCTCACGACATGACATGAATACGGCACGAACATGTTGACACGACAATTTAAAAAAAATACAAGACACGACACATGGATTTTGTCTTTGGATTGCCTAGAAACATACATACAAACATTTCTTCAAACAGTCTCTATAAAGCAGTAAAGTTATACAAAGGACCTAAGAAGTATGGATACGGCTCACGACATGACATGAATACGGCACGAACATGTTGACACGACAATTTAAAAAAAATACAAGACACGACACGTGGGGGACATGCACATAAAATATAATTTTATATATTTATTGTATATCATATATATGAATATATCATTCTAAGATAGTAAATAAATGCAATATAATACTAATTTCTATAAATTGATATTATTTTTCTTTTATCATTATGTTCTAAGTTATTTTGTTAAAACTTATAATTAGTTTCATGTGTGTCTATTCAATGGACATGTGCGTCCTCCAAGTGTCTAAAGAGTGGCCAAATCTAAATTCTATTTAAAAAAATAAGACAGGTTTGGATGAGTGTCGGCCACTTTTTTAGAAGTGTTTTTGATATTTAGCAAAGGACATCAGTTTTAAGCTTAGTTGCACGAAGCGGAAGCGGGAGCGGGAGCGAGAGCGAGGGAACGTGAGCCGATAGAAGTTTCTAAGGTTGGGAGCGCCTCGGGAAGCGGTAATATATATATATATATATATTTTAATACACATTATAAATATTTTTATTTTAATACACATTAATTATTTTATTTATTTATTATATTTTTTAAATAATGTGTTATTGGTAATTTATTTTTATTTTATTTTACATATATGTGTTTTTTTTATTAATATGTATAATATATACTCATATATATATATGTTATATTTGCAGGTGTTTATATTTTTTTTTATGTAAATATATTATAAAGATTATATATATTAATATTTTTATTTTTTTTATTAATGTTTTTTTATTATATATTTATATGTATATATATGATATATATTAAATAATAATGTGTTAATGTTTTTTTATTTTTTAAATATATATATTTATTTAAAGATTTTATATGTTTTATCTTATATATATATATATTTTACTTATATATTAGGTATATATCAGAAGGCGAGAGAGAGAGAGAGACAGAGCGCGAGTGAGATAAGGCAACGACGAAGGCAGAGGAGACGATGATGATCAAGGAGATGATCTGCGAGAGAGAGAGAGAGAGAAAGACGATCTGCCAGAGAGAGAGACGAACTGCGACAGAGACGAAAAACATAGAGAGAGAGAGAGACGAACTGAGATAGAGGCGAAAAACACAGAGACAGAGAGAGACGACCTTTGAAGTGATGAAAGAAGAAGAAAAATGAAGCAAAGGACATACCCAGACACAACCTTCAGGTTCTTCTTCACCTTCTTTCTCCTTTCTCTCTTTGTTGACCAACAAGCTAGGGTTTTTGTTCTTCTTCACCAACGATCCCATCTTGGATAGGATCGCGTTTCTCTCTCTACAGAAACGCGATTCCTACACGTTTCTTATAAGAAACGCGGAATCGCGTTTCTTACGAAGATTCGTCACCTGGTAGCATGATTCCTGCAACTAAGGTCTTAAGGCTTACAAGCACATGTGCAAAACCTAATACAAACACACCTCAGTTTGTGTGATACCAATTCCATGCACTTTCCCTAGGGAGAAGTCATGTGACATTCTGGCTTTCTCCGGTTGCTAGTCGGAAGGACCTGTTGCCCCTTTTGCCAAGTTTCGAGACTTTTACTTTGGAGCCTGTAACCTAAGTTGCTTAATTCCACAAACTGACACACGCCCAAAATTTCTACCATATTGTGTAGTTCCAATATAAAAATCAAACCCACACATGGTTTTATGCAATTCTAATTAGTTGATTCCTCATTAAGATCAACACACAAGCATGTGATCTCATAAGCATATTCTAGCAATAATACCAACATGAGTAACAATTTCTAAAATTCTCACCAAAGACTCTACTTTGCCAAATTAGGGGTTTTCCACCAAAGTGTTTCAAGCACAAGGCCCAACCAATAACAACTAAGCCAATCTCAATTTATCAAGTAGTCATGGAAGGTAAATGACATAAACTCATACAATTAAACCTAACCCTAGCATGGTAAACAACAATGTATTGTAAAGAAATATAAAGGAAAGCATAAAAACATATAAGAGAGAGAAGAAAACCCCTACCTCAAGGAGGGAGAGGAGAGCGAAAAACCCAAGAAATGTAACTAAAATGAAATTTTGAAACAGTTGGAATGTAGCCATCGCCGAGATCTACAACTTTAATCTTTAGATTAAAGATCAGTTCTCACTCTAGGTTGGTTGACTTTGAGCTTGAATTTCTTTGAAAATGGTGAAATGTAGAGAGAGAAAAGAGGGAAGGAGAGATATGGAGAGAGTGTGATAGTGAAAAATGACCCTTTCGGCTGAAAAATCGTGCATAAGTACAAAAGGATAGATGGAATGGTTGAAGGAGAGTGGGCCTCATTGCCCAAATCTAAGTTAAATTCATCACACCGCTTGAGCTGTGAAACCATCGCTCCAGTGGTCCATTAGGTCCCTCAAACTTTTGCACTCAGTTGTAGACAGAGATGTTGCAAGGCTTTGTTGACCGCTCAAGCGGTAAAACCATCGCTCGAGCAATGAACCCAAGGTCACAGGAAATGTTTCTATAGTAAAAACTCTTATGAGTTGTTCAAGACTGATCTAGTAGTAAAACCAGTGTTTTTAAAGGCTCAAGGCTCACCAAGGTTCGGAAGGTCTCTTGGGGCTTAGACGCAAGGCGAGGCGTGGGCTTTATTGAAGTAAGGCGCACAGTCTCAGTTAAAAATAGATAAATTAACATAGACTAATGATTCATAGCATGTAAGTACTAAGACAATATTTAAAAAAGAAGAAAAAAAAGAAAAGTAACTAAAGTAAATTATAGAATAATTTCAAAGCCATAAAAGTGCATATTAGTTAGCATTCCAATTTTCAAAGGTAAAATAATCCACATTCAACAGCAGGGAAAAAAAAAAAATGAAGTTTTTTGCAAGTGAAACTATAACTAAAAAAAAAAAAAAAAAAATGGAAACGAATTAATACTAAAAAAAATAATGCTTAAAGGAATTAATTTTTGTTTTTTTTGTGAGTTGATGTTTATTTGAAGCTTTTTGTAAGTGAAACTATAACTAAATTTATATAGCTAATCGGTGTTTCCAAATTGTAAGTTAAGTGGCAAACAAGTGTCATATCATGAAATTAAAAATTCCAACTGCAAGATGATGTCACACTTGATGACATTCTCAACTTAAAAAGAAAATTGATTCTCTATTTGGTTATAAGAAGAAGAAGAACCCAGCTAGCACATCGAATAAGCAAAAGAAAAGGGGGGGAAAAAAAAAGACAAAAACAGAGCAGTGAAGCAATTTTTTTTATTTTTTTGAGACATGGAAAAAAAACAGAGGTAGCGAAGAAGAAGAAGTAGACGAAGAAGAAGAATAAAGCATTGAAGAAGAAGAAGAACTACTTGGTCTAGACGAGACGAGACGAGACAAGCCGAAGGGAAGAGACACTCAGACACCGTAAGGTTTCGTTGCAAAATTTCTTCTAATGAATCGATTAGGGATTTTCAGTCATATTTGGGGCTAGGTATTGAGCTATATAGCTTAGAGTTGTAATCCTATGTAGTTGGAGCCTTTAAAAACACTGATATGAGCTGTTAGATTTTGATCAGAAAACAGGAAAATACAGTCCCAAAAGTCGTGTGACTTGTGCCTCTCTTCGCCTGGCCAAGTCGCTGCGCCTTCTTCAACTCGCCTTGCCTTGAGTGGCTTA